GGGCCTCACCTCAGCACTCTGTAGGGCTTGGTGGAAAGGTCCAGGTCGAACCACACCAGCTTACTGTCGTAGCTGCCACAGATGAGGTTGTCACCTGGGGGCACACATGGTGGTGAGGACCTACTGGCCTCGCCTGCTGGCCCCCTCTTCCCCCGCAGGGTGCACCTGCCCCGGCCTCACCTGCAGGGTGCACAGCCAGGCTGGACACCCACTTGCAGTTGGGCAGCAGCTTCTTGGTGAGCTCCTGGCGCAGCAGGTGGTACAGACGCACGCTGCGCTGGGAGGCCACGAACAGGAAGGGCCGGGCAGGGTGGAAGGCCACGCACTGCACCTGCCCGTGGCTGCGGCGGAAGGGGCTCTGGCTGCGGCGCCGGCTCAGCTGGTGGATCAGCACCTGACTGTGGCCCTGGGTGGCCAGCACAACGGCCATGTAGTCCCCGCGCCCATGCCAGGTCACCTGCGTCACTGGCTGTAGGAGGTGAGGCTGGCTGAGAGGGGGCGGCCTTGTCTGCTGACCCTTAGGCCCCACCCCCACATACCCCATCTTGTGGCAGATGTGCAGCCACAGGCATCTCCAGCCCCGCCACACCTTGTCATGGTAGATGCGCAGCCGCAGTCCGGCCTGGCGCTCCTCCTCTGAGGCTTCCAACCAGCGGGCAGGCTGTAGGCTAGGCTCCTCCGGTGGGGTGAAGGCGTCCAGCAGCTGGTCCGTGCTGCCCACTGCCAGTCGGTCCCCCAGGGCCGGGTTCAGCAGCAGCACTGTGTCCTCCCTACAGGCCAGAGCTACATGTGGCCCCCTCAGACAGGGCCACCCCGCTGCCCCCCTCCCCCACCCCTACCCACCTCACTTACACGGCCACAGCCACCAGGCACATGGTGGGGTGGGGGTTCCAGGCAACACTCTTCACCACGCCCCCCACGGGCACAGTCTTCATGCAGCGGGCAGTGGCCACCTCCCAGAGCCGCACGGAGCCATCGTCTGAGCCTGGACACAGCAGACAGGGCCCTCAGTGCCTGCCCTCCCACCCAGCCCCCAAGCTGGGGCTACCCCCACCTCAGGCCCACCTGAAGCCAGCCACTGGCCCCCTGGGGAGATGCTAAGGCAGCGGACGAGGTCGCCGTGGCCCCTGTAGACCTGCAGAGAAATGACAGTGAGGGGCCGGGCAACCAGAAGAGGGTGCGCCCCCCCCCCACACCTCGCCCACCTGCTTACCAGGGCCTGGCAAGTGGGGAAAGGCTGCAGGTCCCGTGGCCGAGGCAGTTTGGGGATGAGGTCTTCAGGGTCCACATTCACCTGGGGCAGGAGAGCCTTTGGTCACCCTGCCCCCGATGCCTCCCCCAGGCACGCCATCCCCCAACCCCCACCCCCACGTACCCGCATCTTGCGCTGCCGTGGGCACAGGTAGAGGTCCAGGCAGCGCTCAAAGCGCTCCTGGATGAAGCGGCTGTAGGCAGGCACCGCCCGCAGGCTTGGGAATCTGCGTGGCAGGAAGTTAAGCTTCCTCTCACCGGGCTCCTGCTGCTCCCATGCCAGGCGCTGTGGACAAAGGGGTGAGCCGCCGGGGGCATGGGGCAGGTGCCCAGACCCCCACCCGGGCCAGACCCACCTCCTCCTCGCTCAGCAGGTACTCAGGGGGTGGGTTGTAGGACTCGGAGTGACCAGGCAGGGCCAGCTTGGGAGCCGGCACGTGCATCCTGTGACGTCCCAGCACAGCGTTGGGGTCCTCCTGCGCCCACAGGTCGTAGAAGCTGGGGGTGGGGTCCCGGGGCCGGCGAGGCTGGAGCCAGCCCATCTTGATGGCGTGCACCATCCGAGACACCTGCACAGACAGGCGGCTCAGGGCAGGCAGTGCAGGGGCTGCGCCCTGGAGGAGGGGCACCCACCTTCTCCTTCTCCACCAGGGATGGGATGAAGCTGCGCTTGTCGGCCGGGCGGTTGGTCACCGGGTGGATCATGAGATCCCCGCTGAAGAAGTCCACAGCTGGCTGCGGGAGCAAGCACGGTGTATGGGCCAGGGCCCCCAAAGCCCCCAGAAGCCCCTGAGCCCAGGGCCAGCCATTGCCACCTACCTCATATGGGTCAAAGCTCACGTCCCCAAACTGGCCCCTCTGCAGCCGCTGCACCAAGGCCACCTGCTCGTCAGTCAGCCGAATGTCATGCCCCGTCATCCGGTCCTGCACTGTGCGCCTGGGGGCCGCCCATCAGAGCCGCAAACCCGCCATCGGCCCCCCCTCGCCCCCCGCCCCCCCGCCAGTAGCCCCACCAGGCTCACCAGTATTCGGGGTCGTCCATTCTGTCCAGGAACTGGTCCAGCTCATCCCGGGTGCGCACGGGCTTATAGATGCGCCTGCCATCCAGGTCGTAGCCCACATGGGGGAAGTCATCATACCACTCCAGGGGCACATTGCCCACCGTGTTCCGCACATCCTGGGGCAGCAGGCCAGCATGTCAGTCCTGGACACCCTTCCTTCAAGCCCCCAGGACAGATGAGGGGGAAGGGTGAGGGCCAAGGGACTGGCCTCGAGGCTGCAGCCAGGCACCCTGACACGTGCCCTAGCCCTGGGGTGTGACGTGGCGCGGTGGCGCTGTCCCCCCGTCCCCCCCTCCCCCGCGGCCCTCAGAGGCGCCGGAGCTGCACCTTCACATTTTCCACTGAAGTGGTGCCAACCCCACAGCCTCCCCCGGATTCCTTGGCCAGGGCCCTGGGCAGCCACAGACAGGGGTGAGCTCATCGCCACGGGCTCCCCCCCTGGCGGGGGCCTTAGGCAAAAATGGGTAGCCACAGGCAGGGACTCAGGGAAGACCCGCCAACCCACTCCAAGGGGGGCAGAAGCCACTGCATTCTGCCCTGCAGGCATTTGAGGCCCCCCCAGTGGCCCCTCCGAGCACCCCCCCATCCCATCCCCGACGGGCAGAGCAGCCACATTCCTGGTCGAGGCCCCTGCCAGCCACCACCCTCCCTCCGCCCAGCATGGAGACTGCTGCCCAGGCAGCAGCTTCCTGCAACAGTAGCGACAGGGGGAGGGGCCCAGATGAGGCAGCACAGCTGGGAGCCCAAGGCCCCCTTGCGGCAGGACAGGACCCCTGGGGCTCTGCCGTCTGCACCTGCCCGCCCCAAGACCAGCTTACTGTGGTCCTCCCAGCAGGCACACCCCTGTGCCCCACCCACTGCTAGGAATGCCCTTCCTTCTCCTCTGATGGGGGTGGGAGGACTCCAATGCCCATCCAATGTAGCCATCACTGAATTGGACAAATCCTGGGGGAGGGGGGCCCAGTGGCAGAGGGGTGGGGAGGTTTCTCTAGAGCCAGGGTGCAGGCATGAACTGAGAAC